CTCTCCTCATGGGAAACACACCATCCCTATGGTGCTGCTCCCAGTCCGTCGCTGGGTTTTACAAGACCATGAATCACGTTATTGCACAGAAGGCATAGGTAGTGGTGACACAGTGTAGGGATGAACGCTGTTACCCGTGTGACAGTACAAATTTCATGTGCTTCTCAGACATTCATGTGATTTTGCATTCATTTTTCATGATACACAATCAAATATAAAACTCTGAATTTCAGGTTAATATGATACGTCGTACTTTTAATGAAAGTCTTTGTGGGAGCTGCTGCAAGCAGCAAGAAAGCTTTTACTCTCATTTTTTTCCTTCAGCTGAGGGATACTTCATGCTTAAAACTCATCAATTTTGAAAACACTCTGCCAGAGAGCCTAATTAAGAAGCAAAAAACTATTACCCTCACGGGAACATCCTCCAAGACGGAGACTTGGGTGTTGTGTGACCAAGACCAAGCTCACTAAAACACCAACGTTTCACAAAGCTATATAATTCCCAATGATAAATGGGTCATCATGGTGCAGTGGCTTCAAGTGCTGAGTCTGGGTTTGTGGTTTTGGGTTCTACTTGCAGCGTGAAAATCCCTATTTCTACAGAGGTCAGCAGATAACGTCCGTGAGAGTAGTCTTGATTCTCATAACTCCTGACATTCCTAAAATTTTACCCCAAAGTTTGCATTAACTGATATTCCTTCTAAATGCCCTAGAATGGTATTGGCAAGTGGAAATCAAAACTATCCACTAAAAATAAAGTTTGGCTATAGCTAGAGCTTGGCAAGGTGACCTCAGTAGACTAAATGGCTCACAAATCAAAAGGCACATCAGAAGCATCAAGCATTAAAAGAAATTCTAATGTTTTAAAATAAATATAATGATTTTTAGACATCTGCTGTGGCAATACTGAAAGCCATGGATCTTTGTACTTCCTGAGTTATGTTAGGAAAGAACTCAGCAGTCTGGGCAGAAATTTCTGCCAGATTTTCTGTTAATGGGAGGTCTTTGTTCCTTGAGTGTCTAGGTTTTGCTACACAACATTATGGAAGTGATAACAAGGAAAATAATGTTCTTGATCATAATGTGGCTTGATGAATCCACAGTGCTAGACTGACAAAAGTAGGAAGATTTCCCCCATAACTGGATTGTTTTGCTCTAGGGGAAGAAATGGATGCAGCAACATTCTGGTTTATCTCACACTGAATGTAAGCATTGCACCAAGCAGAACACTTAGTTCAAAAAAAGGTATTCTAAAATGCATTGCCTCTGCCATCAAAGAGCAAGGAATCATCTTACAGATCCTCCAGAGTTAATAGTGAAGATGCTTCATGACAGTTTTGCACTTTTCTGCAGCCTATGGCTTCTAAAATTACTGTGACTATGCAAATGTACATCTCTCTGCTCTTATCTTACCTAAACTTTTTTTCTCATTTCCTAATTTATTTTCTTCAGCATTTTATCTGGTCACAGAAGTTTTCCTGAGGGAAGGCAGTCACTGTATTGTTTGTACAGTGCCTGGTGCAACAGGCTCCTAAAATCGATTTAGGATCCTTCTGAGGTAGCGCAATAGAAATAATAAACATTTTATTTTAACAAACAATAGAAAACAGTGTCTTTGAGAACAAGCTGAAGAATAGAGGCCTTGTGATATAAAAATACTTCCAGCAGGGTGCAAAATAAAACATTTTCTGTATCTAACCTCTTCGGGGTGTTACGTTTCCTCATCACTTTTTCAATGCAATCTGGCCATTTACAACTTGTCATCTCATTTACCTTAAGTTGATGTAAAACAGTTGGTCAAATAGACTTTTCTGTCCCAGAATTGGAATGGAGTGCAGCATTTCAAGAGTATGGCGTGAACCCTATTTTCTATAACATGATGCCATAACATAGAACTAGTAAAAAAAAAATCACTTAGGTTAGTGATATTGTACTTCCTTTTAAAGTGGGTTATTTTTAACTTGTAACAACCTGAACATAGAAGTAGTAAATAATTAGTATCTATGAATGAGCTCAGCAAGCCTGTAACATTAAAAACTGAAATTGCCACTGAAATTCCACAATTACTGTGGAAACCTTCCACTAGGGCCCATGCTCCTTCGTAATTACGGACGCAAATCTGGTTTCAAGCCTTGCAGTGCCGGCAGGTGAACCTGAACTGAAGCTGCAGTCAAGAAAATTCCAAGTGATCCCATGAGGGTGTCTCTGCACAACTGATCTCAGGACCTGAACCTGGGCTGCCTCAGATGCCCAGTTTCTCTCTCCCTTCTGTGAACTTTGTTAGGAGCGTAAGAAGGAAGTGTTCCTCCTGCAGGCCCTACATAACTTGCAGAGGAACGAAAGGGCTGGGATAACCAGACTTTTCCTTCTCACAGAAGATATAAGAGACAGTTGGAGACAGCTTCTAGAAACAATCAGATGATGTGATGAGCTAAGGCTTAACTCATCCAGTTTTCCTCCATGAGTTTCAGGGACCACCTTGACCCTCCACCCCACACACTACTACCCGTATATCAACTTTAGGAGTCTGGAAAACATTTCAACTTCAAACTGGGATTACTATTTTATTAAGTGGGGTTCCTACCAAAATTTTTCTACAAGCAGGTCTATTAGCATACATTGCTATATTTCTTCAAGTACTTAAATATAAATCTATTGTATCTTGTTATTATTACTGGAAGAATTATGGCCATATGAAATCCCTGGAAACTTCTCAAGAAAGAGCTTCTACTTTAACTAGGACAGGACAATATTTGTATACAGGGGCTGAGTGGACTTGAGGTTGTGAGATGAAAAAGCTCAGCCTTGTTGACAACCAAGTATGAAACACATTGTTAAAACAATGATCTGATGTAATATTTTTTATGTACTGAGAAAAACTGGCATATTTTTTGCTTTAGAGTTAAAATAGCCTGGATGTCTCAGCTGGCCATAAAACTGATTCATGCCATGCCATTTTTACACTTGTTCCTCCTAAGCCCCAGTCCATATTCCTTCAAATTTCTTCCGATTTTAAGCAGAAGAATCATCATTTTTTTATTTTCTCGTAAAGTCCTTTTGGAATTGGGCAAACTAACAAATACTATTTGAAATCCCACATTTTCACCAACAGGTGGAGCTTACATTTTATATTTCATTTATAATGACTTTAAATTCAAACAGTGTATATTAAGACAAATACATCACCAACTCAAAACTCCAGTGCTTCAGATAAGATTAGGACCATGACATTCCTTTCCAATATTCCACTGTATGTAAACAATAAACCCTAGGCAAGCTCCTTTGACACCAATTGCAAAGTTCCCTATGTTTTTAATGACTGAATAATTAGATCCATTTTCATTTTTCTTTAAGTGAGCCCCTTTACATTATATTCTTTTTCCCATTGACTCCACTAATGTTCACACACGTATTATTTATCTTGCTTGCGTAGGTTTCAACTGTGATTAACTTGATCTCAGAACACAACTGAACTCAAATCTGTAAAGAGATGTTGATGTAGATATTGTCTATCAACCTTCTTCCACTTAATACCTCACAGGCCAACACTAAAATACATTACAGCATCTGCTGTTGCTATTTAACTAGAACAGGCTATTGATGGCAGAAACTATGTCTAATGCACAAAGCTATTTAGAATTACGCCTATTATTTATCCTGAGTGAGGAATTACTTTTCGCAAATCCTTTAATGTCTTCATTTTCTTACATCTACCAAACAATATCCTTGATTATCTGTGGCTTTTCAGTAACTACTTAGCTATTGGGAAACATCTTCCTAGCATTCACTTGCACTGTCACAATAACCATTAAGCATGGAATTAAAAAGACAAAATGGAAAAAGGACCTTAAAAACCAACAATTGTTCAAAAGTGCTGTGGAAAAGAGAACTTCCTTAATCCACTGTGACAGAAAGATACTGCAGAAATACTCTGCCAAAATGGCTTCTGACACTACCAGTGAATTTTCGGATGAGCAAAACTGGACAGTGTTTTAAGAATACATACATAGATACAAACATATATGCACATATATACAAACATATGCATTTATATGTTGGTAGGGCATCTGGTAGCTAAAATTCTTTTTCAACTGCAATAGTTGAGTTTGTATAACACAGTTACTCATAAGAACATGAGTATTAAATGTTTCTTCAATGTTAATTCCCCTGTCAGATCAAGACATTTGCTATTTGCTCTGTGGCTCCAACTGAAAAAAATCAGATATGCAGAAACACAGAACATCCGAATTTTCAAGGAAATGAAGAGAACAACGGGTTGTGATCATGCTCCTAAAGTTGATCTCTAGATAAACAAAAATGAGCAGAGCCAGACATTAGTGCAGTATCCTGGCTTGCTGAAAAATTGCCTAGCAATTGACTCAAATTAAAAAAAAAAAAAAACAAACCCAGAGCTGTGTTGTAAATATAGAAGTCAAACACAATTCCAGACGTATTCCCACTCGACTTCCACGTCTTTTTCAAACATACCATCAACACCCACGTGCCTGCCCCCGGTGCCTGTAGGTATCAGTTCCAACTATCTGAAAGAGTGTCAGACTAATTGAGTTACCACAGAAGTGGATAAACTACACTTCACCCCACAATGATGACTGCCAACGGGTTGGTTTTTTGGAGGTTTTTTTATTGCCTATAATCATCTTTGCCGTGCTAGCGCGCACCCAGAAGCACACCGCCACTTGAGGCCCACCGCTGCGGCCCACCCCCGCCGGCAGGCTCTACGGCCCCAAGGGGACCTCGCTCCGCGGCCTCCTGCGGGGATACGGCAGGAGCTCTCCCTAGCAGCAGCAGGCAAGCGAGAGCTCTCTGAAAGGTGTACACTGTGCGTGCGGAACGGGCCCGGAGGCCGCCCCGAGCTGCTCCGTTACCGGACGGACCCGCACACAGGCCCCACAGCCGCTCGCCCACTGCGCATGCGGCCCTCCCTCCCCGGGACACGGAGCCAATCAGGGCGCCGGAACGAGCGCGTGCGCCTTTAGCAACACGCGCGCGGGCCGGAGGAGAGGCACTTCCTATTCCGGGTTGGCTCCCGCCTTACACCGTAAGGAGCCGCGCGCCGCGGTGGGGGGGGGCGATATTTGCTCCTCCGAGCAGCGGAGGGAGGAGAAGCGCGAGCGGCCGCGCGACCCGGCTCCCCTCAGCCACGGCCCCGTCCCCGTCCCCCCCGCGCCCTCTGCCACCCCGC